TAATGCTCCACGAATAGAAAATAGATTTCTGAGTTCATTCTTAAGAAGCGCTCAGTGTTTTGCTTTTGAAATTATGGTGTCTGTACATCCATCTAAATGGTAATGAAATGCTAATAGAGTAATTTGCTGAGATTTTTTTTTCCATCCTACAAGATAATGATAAGGGGAACGTGATAAAATATTTGGCATCTTGATGTCTGTTTCGAAAACTGGAAATACAAACAGAATTCAGGAAGCTTAATAAGATTTTCTTCTCTAAAACATTATGTGGCTCACTGCTTTATAAAAAGATGTGAGAAAAATCTGAATTTTTATAAGCTCTCCTGCAGGCTAAACTTTCAGGTACTCTGGCAGTTAACCTACTTTAATGAGGACTTTTTTTATTCATGTGATAATTGTTGATTTATTTAGAGCTCTTTCCCACAAATATTTACTAATGAGCATAGTGTGTACTGTGGATGTTTTGGGAGTATTTAAGGTAGGTAGCTTGAGGGCATGTTTACCCTTGAAAGGGTTCTGATTTTGTTTTAGTGTTAGGTGATCTGGAAGACCTGTCTATGCTGTGGCTAAGAGTCCCTTGGCAGTTTTGTTTCGTCTCGTTTAAGTTGCTTTACTTTGGGATGTTTATGTCCACTCAATTCTGTTGTCTAAAAGGAAGCACTTAGCCTTCGGGGCAAGCATCCCGGGATGCGCTTCCTTGCCCCACTCTCCATGCATTTTAGGATTTTTTTCTTACTTCTGACGTACTGGCAATGGCTGCTGAATTCTGGATTTTAATGACCACTTACCTAGCGGTTTGTGGAGAGTTCTCCTGGCACTGTAGTAATAATACATTCACGTGAAAGCTTCCCTCAGTGTGAACTGTGGACTCCTGCCAGGGTCAATACCAGGCCAGGAAGGCGTTAGCAGGTCCAGTCTTGGGCCTTTTGTCAGGGAGGGGTGTGCTGCCTTCAAGAAAACGCCATCTCTGAGGCTGCATAGCTTGTCAGCAGTCCTGTTGTTACGGACTGCTTAGTGAGGCTGGAGGCTTGAGACACATCTTACGATTGTTGGTGTGGTGCATGTGCAGAGCCATGTTCTTTCATGGAGCCCTAAATTTATGAGTGAATTTCCGTGTAATTTTTATTTTTGTTTTTTTTTTTTTTTTTCCATAGCAGAGGAGACATATGTAAGGATTAAGGAAAAAAGTAAATGAACCCCCTAAAGTTTTTTTTTTTTTTTTGAATTTGATGGTACGGCCTCTTGTTCTGAGCTGTTTTAAATGTCTGTTTCTTATTAGACTCGTGCCATGTGTCAGTAACCCTTTCAAAATACGACTACATGTTTGTGTGATACGTATTTTGTGGTCACACCTGCCCTGTTACTGTCAATAAACAAGTGTCTACAATCAGTAGTGCTGTAGGGTCATTGTATCTGTGGAAAAGGGAAACCTGTGCTCTTATGCTCATTCATCACCAATAAAATTGCCAGCTAAGTTACAACTTTTGACCATACGTTTTAGTGATGGTTTATGGACAGGAAAATGCCAGTGTGGTTTCTAGTCCCAGTATCGAAATCTTCTCTCGCTTATGTATACAAATGATATATTTGACAACTCCTGTCGAATGATTATGCAGAATTTTGAGATAAGAACTTGTATTAAAAATGATTGTGAATGTTGTAATTATCTTAAAGCAAAGCTCTATGAAATTTATGAAATACAGTTTTGTAGTAAACTTAAGGAAGGTAAAAATTTGAAGGTACGTAAATGCATTTTTAATGCCCAGGGAACCTTAGAAAGTTTTATAAAGATTGCAAGATGAAAAATTGAAAGTATCAATCTCTATAAAAGTCAGTTAATTTAGTCTGGGATTTCAAACAGCTTGACTATTGAAGTGATTGGGATTGAGATACTATGGGTACTTTAACTTGAAATTTTTTAATCTTAACATGTTTCAGTTGTTTTGAAACTTGACCTTGACTCTGAATCCCTCAAGTTCATTTTTTTTTCTGGAGAAAAGACAGCATTTTCACAATAACTTTTCCCTTAAGTGTGTTTTTAATGTATGCTTCATATAGCTTCCCAGCTTTATTTCCAGTTTAAGATGATCCTTTGTCTGAGTTCCTCTTTCTTAAGCTGTATAAATGTAACGCTAGAGAACAAATTATATGATATTGATAATGAACTGGAGAAATTTAACATCAATTTTAAATAATTTCTCTTTTAGTTTTATATCAGATGAAACAGTTTACTCCTGGCTGCTTTGTGCTATGATGGAGCAGATATAAAGCAACTGGAGTATTTCAGGTATTCAAATAAGGTTTATAGCCGCCTTGTGTTGCCAGTTCAGACCAGCTGTTTTGCAGCTGTGAATCTTACCCTGAGATTTTTGGTGGGTGGCCCCAGCACATTTACAGAGCTGTGATGAGCTGAAGACAAATTAGAACATCATACACATGTTGACAGGGACTTCACATCGCTGACTTCGCAAGCATTAGAATTGCCACATACAAATTAGCCAGAGTGTGCCAGGTAATGATCAGCAATGTGACACCTACGTTTAAGATACCAATGCTATTGAGCTGACTACTTGTTAATAATAACAACTTAGATATACACTAGTTATTAGAGATAGTGGGAGTGCTTTTTTCCTGAAACATGCGTATTATAATTTTATATTTGAATAATCTAAATATTTCAACTTTAAAAGGAAATATGTTGATTGTATTGTCCCATGAGGGTGGTAGTCTCAGTCCCTAAACATCTTTTTCCATCATGCACAACCAAAGGGTTTTGCATTTCCCCAACACACAGACAGCTGTGATCTTCATAATTTGTTTGTGTGGGTGTTAGCATTCGGCTCTCCAATGAAATTTGTTAGAAAAGAAATGAGAAATTGAATGAGATGGGAATTAAACCAGAAAGTTGGCTGGATAGATGATTTAGCAGTAATCTAGTGTAGCTAATTGGCTAGTATCCAAATTCTGCTTTTGATTGTTTGTTTTCCTCTGGGGAAAAATATTATTGAATACTAGATGACTGCATCCCAGAAGGATGCAGTCATAAGCTTCATGTCTAGGTATCAATTTTTATCTTGTATCATACAATGATTTCTTAGATCATAAACCTGGCTGATGATATTAAAACTAAAAACTAAAAACAAAATGTTGGCCACGTGTAAGCCCAGCAGGAGTTTTGCACGTTGTTAGTGCCAGAACTTCACCCTAGGTTGTTATACGTTAGATGAATTTTTAATGTTTAACTTTTGGTTGTCGTCCACGGTATGCGCTTTAGTCAGCAGAATGCAAAAGGGATGCATTGGGGGGGGGGGGGGAAAAGTACAGATGTACATTCATAGAATGCAGGAATCGGATTGAAAGTTTAGTCTCTCAGGAAAGTCATCTGGAAGATTTTCAAATTACAATAAACATCTATATTACTCCAATCAAACCACAAGATAGTTAATTTCAGTGAGGGAAAGCAATACACTGAAAATGAAGGAAATATAGCAATGGCATTATCATAACTTTTTACTCCTCCAAACTGTAGTATTTTCAGTTTTCCTCCTCTGAGATTAGATTTTTACCAATATAAATGACAATCAGAGGAAGAAATCTTACCAAGTTCAATGGAACTTCAAGAAGGAATGGACTCTCACCAATTTCAGTAAAGATGTAGGCCTCAGCCTTTTACTGAATTTTGTTTTGTGTGATTATTAGTCAAATATAGTTTATTCTGCGGACGTCTGGAGTATTGATATCTACCATTTTGCTTTATGTACAATATTAAGCATTCGGAATTGCTAAAAGGATCCTTTCCTCCCTGAAATCCTGAAATTTGAGGACACAAGAATGATATTTGGGTTTTGTTTGGGCTTTGGGCTTTTTGAGGACACTGGTTAAAAAAATAAATAAAGTTTTACTCCCTTTTTCCTCCATTACTGTGTGGTACGGGGTTTGTTTGTTTTTGTTTATTTTTATTTATTTATTTTAATGGAAGTCAAAATTCTCTTGTTGCTATTACAACCTTCTGGACCTCTGAGAAAAAGACCAAGCATCATGAGGCTCAGTATGAAATCATAAGCTGTCAACACTGGCAGTTGTCAGGCAGAGTTTCAGGGTGCCTGAACTTATTATTGTCAATCCTAAGTTTTCTGTGCTAAGACTTATACTCACGTGAGTAACAACTTTGTGAGAACAGCCAGTGTGAGTTTTTTAATCTCAGATCTGTATAAGATTGATGCATTTTTTTTTTTGCTATATTCTGAGCTTAAGCTGTGGGCAAACACACTGCCAGAATTTCTCTCTTGGAAATCAGGCAGGTAAAGCACTTAAGGAGGCCTTTCTCCTGTAGTTTTAAAGTGGAAACATACCTTAAGTGTTATGCGGAGCGGAGTTCCTGTCTTCCATGCCCTAGCTGGGTCAGGAGGGATCACGATGGGAGTGTTGTGGGAATGTGAACTGTTCGAGGGTTCCCAAGTAGTCTGAGATTACGTGGGCTTTTTGTGAAGTTATCAGGAAAAACTGCAAAGATAACCATCGTTTATGCCTCTTTTAGAGGAAGAAGTGAGGAGTGCGTATAACAATGCTGTACGTGCCAAGTATTGACTTCGGTTTTGGTCTAATATGAAAATTGATTGTCCCTGTGGTAAATGTTCATCCTTTGTATCAACATGTTCTGATTTTTAACTCAACATGAGTCAACATTTGCTTTTCATAGTGGTCAATACCCGCAGTCCAAACAGAGCTTTTGCAAGTGAAACTATAGATGCTTATTTATGCCTTTGTATTAGAAAGATGCTACTGTTTTGTATGTCTGCCTAAAGTCAGAATTGTATGTGTTTCCATGTTCTATAGCTGTTACAAAATTTAGGTATTGTATACCCCGTCAACCAATAATGTCTTTTTTTTTCAGTTCTTTGGACTGTGCATATTTAGAAGCAAGCATTATTAATAGTTTTTAAAAGTATTTCAGGAGTTGTTTAAGATAGGAATTTGTTCTGCCTTTTTTTTTTTTCTAGGTGGCCTGGCTTTAGCTCAAGTACAATTTTTTTATGTGAAATACCTGATTCTGTATGGTGTTCCTGGCCTCCTCCTCCAAATGGATGGACTGAAACCTCCAGCTCTTCCTTGCTGTGTAAGCCGGATGCACAGTTTCACTAAAATGTGGAGGTCAGTCATTATTCCTTTTTAAACAATTCATTACTGGCAGTGAATGTAAAAGAACGTGTGTGTGTTTTCATGCTTGCTTGCATGCTCTTGTGCTCTTTTTCTCTCTCGCGCTCTCTCTCACCCTCCTCCCTCCCCATGATTCAACTTGTCCACTTTCTAAATGAGCTTTATTTTGATTATTACTTTTTTAATGCAGCAGAGGTAGAGGGAAGCATCCCTTACCGTATTTTCATCGTCTTAATTGTTAGAATTAGACTTAGCCCACTTAGCTTCACTAAGCTCTCAATTTTTTTTTCCAGATGCTTATTAAATATGATTCATTTTTCACTCTTGGTCCAGAAAGTACATTTCCATTGGATATTCATCCAGAAAAGGAAAAGAAATGCCTGATTAGTTATTCTGTGAGGAAAGCTGTGGATATAACATTGTAATATGTCGTCATGCAGTAAAGAAAATCTTTAACATAATAAAAATACGATGAAAAATGGTAACTGCTTATAATTCAGGATGAAGTTCTGTATCCCCTTTGTTTTTAAAGAATTCACACATGATACTCCAGAAAAAAGTCAGTTTTGAATCTTAGTTACTCTTAGATCTGTATTTACCAAAGTATTTTTTTTCTGAAAACTGTCTCTGAAATGGATTCTGCTTGCTGTTTAGCCTGTGTACAGCAGGGGATTCACTTGACTTTTCCCCTGCCTTGTTTCACTCTGCATTACCTCTGGTTCCTCCACTGTGTGGGAGGATGTGCCCCAGCGTTCTCGAAACGTTATCTTAAATGATTTAGACTTCCCAGTTTTCCGATGCAGAGACTTCTCTCTTACATTGTGCTAGCACAGAGCTTAGCACAGTGGTGCATCCCCTGGTTAGAGTCTCCGGTTGCTTTGTGATATGAGGAAAATTTTTTTCACGTTTAGTCATAAAAATAGTGGCCCTGCTATTATCAGAGCTTATTTGGATGAGATTTTAATTTTGTTTTCTGCTTGAAGCTAGATGTAACAAGAAGACTTCATGGTTTATAATAGTTTGCCATTGTAGGTGTCTGATATTCAAAGAAGAAATGCAGCATAAATAGCGGAGAGGAGATGAACTATTGAAAATGATCTGAGCTGCTAACAGCGCCTTTGGCTTAAGCTCTCCTTCAGAGCTTGAACTGAACTTCTGACCTACAGAGTTGAAATAGAAATCTGTGGTTTTTATCAGGCAACCTCCTGAGATCAGTGTCTCTTGGCCTGCTGGCCCTTGCAAGCAGAGTTTCAAACAGTAGCAGTGCTTCCTCCTTGGCAATTGTTATGCCAAGGAAACTGAGTATTACTCTGCAGGTGTCAATTGAAACTGAACTGTAACACAAACGCTAATGAGATTGCTGTGTCAGGTAATTATAACAGCTGATGGAAAAAAGTATTATGGGCCTACAAAGTTAGGTGTGTTGTCTCACTTGCATTTGGTAAGTGTTTGGTACTCTTTAAAAAATATTTATAACATTTTCTTATCTCATAAGAAAATTGAAACTAGTATCTAGGGCAGATGAAGTTTTATTTTTTTTTTTTTACAGTAGGAAAAAATGTGAACTGCTGATATTTATTATTTGCTCAAATAATTCATTCGCATACTATGTAGCTAACGATCACTGCCAGAAATAATTAAATTAGTTCAGAAATGGGATTTGTTTGTTTGGAGGTTGAAAAATCTGTTTAGGTACAGCTAATGTGATTTCTTGCTCTCAAAGCCATGCGAATAGTAGAATTTCCCATGGCTGCTAGTGAATTATGGATCAATTGCAGTTATCTAAGAGATCTCGCACAGCTTGCCCTCGGAATCCCTGAATTATGATTCTCTTATGCGATTATAGTTACACTCATGAATCACTGCTACCCAGAGGCTTGCAGGCCTTTTAATGTGTTTTGGTGTGTTATATAGGAACATCAGTGTTAGAAGCTGGGGACAGAATGACAGTCTTTGCTAATAAACTGTATGACAGTCTGAGCAGGACTGGCTCAAACCAGCAAGAGGGGAAATGATGAGTTTTCCAAGAAAACTTACAAAAATTGTAAAAGCAAATAACGTGTTATGAGGTCTCATGAACAATGACTCTGTGCTAAAGCGCTAAATACAATTTTGTAGTTGGGTTATGAATTTTTTTTAAATGACTGTTCTTAACAGCTGTATCGGAGAGTATCTCAAATTATAATATTAATAACCCACTGTCTAACTTTAAGCTGGTACAATGAGAAGAGTTGTTGCCGAATGTATTCCTATAGCATGATAGCCTGGTAAAGCCTGTTAAAGACTCTCAGGACTAATTGGGAAATGGAGTGGAGTGGAATGAGCCAGATAAGAAGGTTGAGTGCACTGTTGCCAGCAGAAGGGCTGTCAACTGAGGCAGCAGTTGGTGACAATAACATTTGGCAGGGAGAAGGTACAAGCGATTTGGAAGGCAGGTGATGGACTCACCGGCAGGCTGGCATATTGGAGGATGCGCAGAAAAAGTGTGTGTTTATGCTTTCCATGTTCCTTGGCATCTGCTTTAGGCTACTCTCAGAGACAGAGTATTATTCTAGAAAGGCTTTGGGCTGACCTAGTATTGCTACTTTCATGTCTCAAAGTAATTAAGAGTGTAGATCTCTAAAGAGGGAGGAAGCCTAAAGAGAAGGACAATATGAAAGTCACAATAGATGCAAGGAATGCAAATGTGACACTGAAGAGTGTTCCTGGATTGGTTGTAGCATTGCACCAGTAATCTGGCATTCTTTGATTGTACCAACAAAGATTTTGGTGTGATAGATGCAGACCAGCGTCACTTATAATGACAAATGCTGACATAATTCGCTCCATGAGATAGCATACAGAAGAGCTTTCATTCAGAAGTTAAGAAAAATACTGCAGCTTGTTGTCTAAAATTTCTCTAGAACTCAAAAGCAGAGCAGATATTAGAAAAACAGATCAGTTACTCTGTCTCCCATGATACTAAATAATTAGTCAAATTGTGCCCATTCAAACTTATGAAAGGCTATAATTAAAAAAAATGTTATCAACTTTATTTATAGTAGATTCTGCCTAATTTATATTTTATTTAGTCAGGAAAATCTCCTGAGACAAAAAATTAGCAATCTTATTTTCCATCTCGTGACAAATACAAGTGTTCCATGTGTTACTGTGGTTTCATATTACCAGGATATCATCATCTTGGTGAACATGCCGTTATATATCTAATAAACGCATGATTAATTTATTACTAGTCATAAGCTTGACTATAGTTATGAAGAGGAGATTCGCAGCTCCCGAATTCCAGATGGAGCAATAGTTCAGTGATATATCATCTTAGAGTTTTTAATGTCTGTGTTATCCTGTCTAAGTCACAAGAAATTAACACTTGTTTTTGTTACCAAGGGTAAAATCAAGGTAATTAAGTGTATGAGAAGAACCAGTATTGTTAGAAGTTTAAGCGCCTGAAGAATTGTTCAAGGCTGATATCTGCTCTATAACTTCTCAGATTGGGAGCAAATAGTATAGAGTAATTGGAAGAAGTTGTGCTACTGTCAGCAGAGCATTACTGATAACTGCAAATTAGATCAATATGGAAAAATATTCTCCCAGTGGGATACTAATGATTAAGCGTGTGGAGACTAGAGAAACAGTAGACAGCATATACTAAACCCTGTGCTAATGTTGACTTCTTAATGAAGATGATGATTTTGACAGTGTATTCCACAAAGAAACTTGTCAGTTCATAATTTGGGACAATATTTAGCCTAGATGCTGTTCATGAAAAAGCGTACTGCCATTTTTGTGTGTCAAAACTACTTTACTGAGCGTTGTGCGTACTTTTCGGCAAAGATACTGGTTACATGGATCAGATATGTTTTGACATGTCATGGGAGCAGCATAAGTTTGATAGGGGGTGTGTAGAAGCAAGTTCCTGCCTTCTGTTTTTGTCCACTTTAAAATATGTGCCTTCTCAAGTATCTTGTCTTGAAATAGTTTGGAGACAATTGTATTGGGGGCAAATTGTGTTAAAATTTTATGGATGTTTAATGTAGCTTAGCATTCACAAAGGTCATGGCTTTTCAGGAAAGCGGTAGGAAGGAGACTGTGGAAGGTAAATTTCTTAAGAATCACAGTTCTATCCAGAATAAAGAAAAGTGAATGGAAGAACTTCAAGATAAAAATCATTGAATACAATGCTAGAGAAAGATCTGGCTGCTTTCAACTACTTTGTTATATGTTCTAGATTCCGCCTTGTGCTTAGCACTCCGTTTCTTGACCGTATAGTAGTTTGAGATAAGTCAAAAAAAGCCATTTCCTAAGGAATAGACTAGGAGGGCTGAATTTTGCACATACTTGTGTGCATATGCACACGCAAGCACGCACATCAGGTTTATCTCGCAGGTGTTTTTGGTGACATCCAGTAATGCTAGCTAGGTTATGGTTTGAAAGAAATTGCCTTCAATTCAATTTAGTTTACCTGCCTCGTTACTGCTAACGGATTGCTTGCCTTGTATGAGAAGTGTTCTGTATGCAAGGTTTAAGTGAATTGTTTCAAATTATGGATTAGAATTTTGCTGTAGGCTAGTCATATTCTCTAACATGCTGTACATGCTGTAAACATGCAGCATAAAATGGGTCAAATGAAAATACAATCTCTCCTGTATCTGTTTCTTTCTCATCCTGATAGTTCCTTTTATCACCCCCCCCCATTGTCTTTGAAATCTTCCATCACTGGTAATCAGGGTTGCATTTGTCTATCAAGAAGGACTATGAAAGGTATTTTTCCCTTCCTTTCAGATTCTTTTCAGGAAAAGAAGACTCTGTACTGATGCTATGTGTGTGTGCAAGCACAAGAGTTTACTATCACTGCATATAGTAATTTTGGAATGATGAAAAAAGATTAAATTGTTTACTATCCTCTTTTTCTGGCTTAGACATTTGATGATGTAAACATCCAGCTTGCATCCAGTTGCCTACTTTTAGTTTGTGATGTGGAATGCTGGATAGATTTT